AGAAGAAGAAGAAGAAGAAGAAGAAGAAGAAGAAGAAGAAGAAGAAGCAGCTAAACTTAGAATTTAGTAGCTATTGGCAATTCAAAGATCTAAGATACCTTGGACACCTTGAGAAAACTTTGGCTCTGACCTTTAGCATTCTTTCTCTCTCCAGCATCAAGACGCCCTTCTACTCAATCAAGGTCACAGTCTGAGGAGTCTTGAGCCCACAACCAGCTGCTTAGACATCAGCTGTGTAGACAGCGTCAGTTCACAGACTTAGTTCTGGGTTTCCAGCTGTCACCTTGCTTTCTTTTTCCTTACACCCATCTCCCCTGATGTCTCTGACATGGGAAGTCACTGGCCCTGCAGCTGTAAGGTCCCCCAGACCAACCTGAGCTCTGACCTCTGCAGCTCTGACTTGGGGTCACTGCCAGTGCCTTTGTATTTGTTTGACCTTACTTTTAGGCTCTCCTTGTCTTTATGTTCTTCCTGCTCCTTGGGCTGATTCTGTCTGTGTATGGGCACCTCTTCTGTTGCCCTTTTGAAAGAAAGCCCTCCCCAGGAGGCCCCAGCGCCTTGCCTCACCACACATGGCCCACCCTCCAAGAAAACTACATGAGTAGCCTCAGAAAGGCGTTCCCCCAGGACAGCCATTTCCCTGAATGTCTAATTCAGTCTTCTGCCTTTCAAATCCCATTTCTAAGCCAGTTACTCCGAAGTGTATGTTTATCCCAGAACTTCCTTCTTTTTGTGGTCCCAAATATCTCACATTGAACATGACCAAAACCCATATTATCTCCTTCAAGCCCTGTGGTGGGAGCAGCTTCTCCCTCCTCTGCTGCCAGCCCCTGCTATCATGCACAGCTGAGGCCTGAGTAACTCACCCTCTTTAGACTCCCAGCCTACAGAAAGCCCAGTTTGCTTTGCCTTCTGGGCCCACAGACACGAGTGTCTTGGTCTCACTGATCGTGTGCCTTCTATTGTCTCTTCCACACTGATTTCCTGCCATGGACCCTAAGAAGTCCTTGTTGTCAGCCAACCAGTCTTATCTGTCCCCAGAGGGCACCAGGTCCTGCCACCCCATCCCAGCAATGACTCAGTGTGCCCTTGTGGAAAGGAGAGTCCTCAAGAATCGTCTCCTGAGACCCTGCTCCAACCTGTCCCTCGCTCCTTTGTACTGGTGTCCCTTCACTCCCTCAGGCACTCTCCTGCCTCTGGACCTTTGCCCTCCCTGTTTCTTACCTTGTGACAGCTCTCTGTGGTTGGCTAAGTCTTCCTCAGCTTTGCTCAAACCCCACCCTCTCTGTGAAAGTATTAGAAAGTCCATTTGGCCCTGAGAAACCAAGTAGAAATTGCATGCATACCCCTCCACAGCACCACTAGAGCTCCCTCGCTTGCTGTAGGCTTTCTGGGTCTTCCCCTTTGTTCATTTGTTCATCCAGGAGTAAGATGGTTAAGACAGCTGTCTGCCTGCAGCCGTCCCCCTGCACAATGGGGAGGGGGAAACTCTTTAACCTCATCTTTAAGACTGGTAACAGGATGCACTTTCCTCTCGAAAAGGAACTTATGGAATCTTCTGACTAGAAGTGGAGTTAATAAAGTACCTGGCATATTTACATATGTTTTTGTGTGTACCAATTTAGAAACAAACATTGAAATCCAGATGTTGGAATCTGAAGATATGTAACATCCACCATGAATGGGTTTAAAAGTAGCTGCCTCAGGGGGTCCCATGAGGATTCAGTGACTGTGGGTAAATAGCCCATTGTCTCCTTCACTGCCAATTCCAAAAGCTGAGCAAACAGTGCTATTTTACCTAAGAGGAAGTCTAGGCATGACAGAGGGGTTCTGTGAATGGAAGGTTTTGGTCTGTACTTGGTGCTTTTCTGGGTGTCTCTAGACATCCCCCAGGAAGATGTGGTCTCAGACACTGTGTGTAGCAGCATTTTTACTCAAGACATCTTGCTAGTGATTAATGTGGTTAAGATTCAGGGACTAACCCCTGTATCTACTGGGCAGAAACAGCTGTGTCCACTGGGAGGCAAGTGCACCTTTGCTGTTAGAGGGCTGGTCTCTGCTTAGAGTTCTACCAAGAGAACACACTCTTGTCTCTGCCTCCAGTTTTCTCTGTTTGCTGCCTTATTTATGTCATGACCAGGAGTGAGGTTGCTGGCTGTATGTGAGGAAGGACCAGGAAAGAAAAGGGTGTTGGGGAGGACAGGGGTCCCTGGCAGAGAGGCCTGTGTGAGTCACAGTCAGAATGCAGCCCTGCCTGGGTACAGTGTGCTGAGTGCCCCAGCAACCAGAGCGTCTCCTCATTGTCCTCCAGGTCAGCACCATGATGCAGCCTCAAGTCTTCATTTCTGGCCTCATACTTCTCCCAGGTAAGTGAGTGGATGAGCTGGGGATGCTGAGGAGGCCAGAGGTGCCAAACCTCAAAATTTGGTTTTTTTTAATCATGGATTATGCAGTGAGCAGAGAACCAGGTAAATTATAGCTCCAATGAACTTGTTTAACCTGTATGAGTTACAAAATTTATGACTAGATAAACATGATCCCCAAGAACATGCCAAGCAAATGGGTGAGAATACATGCATTCATGTGATGGACACGTAGAGATGAGTGCACGTGCATGCATGTGACAGAAGTAAGGATGATTGCATGTCCTTGTGATTACATGATTGCATGTAATGGAGAAGTCAAGGTGACTGTACATGCACATGTATTATAGTCAAATGTTCATAAAATATTAAAAACAGCTTTCCATGCATGGTGACTGCTCAAAGTCAGTCTTCATGCCATTTCTTTGTGCAATTTTTCTTTCTAAAACCATTTTCAGCTATTTAACTTAAAAAAATTCGAATTCAAAGTGTTCTATTTTTAAAGGGAGAAAAAAGAACAACAAATATAATTGTCTTTGAGGCAGGCTCTAAGTTAGTCCAGGCTGGCCTCAGACTCCATAGGTTGCTGAGGATTACCTCAAACGTTTGCTCCTCTTGCCTCTACCTCCAAAGAGCTGAAATCACTGGTGAGAAATAAAAGATTTCTATGACTTAATTAAAATAGCATGAATTTCATCTGTGATCCTAAAAGGTGTTTTATTGTATTATCTTCAGATGTCTTACATTTGTTTGCACTGTGTGACATTTATTTAATGCTGCCAAGATGTGTTTCATTCCTTTATGCTGCATCTGCTTAACTCTGTGAAGCTGTGGTACTTTGTCTGTCTAAAACACCTGATTGGTCTAATAAAGAGCTGAACCGCCAACAGATAGGCAGATGAAAGAATTGGCGGGGCTGGCAAGCAGAGAGAATTAACAGAAGGAGAAAAAGAGAGGAGCAAGAGAACAAGGAGAGGAGGACGCTAGGGGCCAGACACCCAGCCACACAGTCAGCCACAAAGTAAGAGTGAAGGGAAGATATACAGAAGGGAAAAAAAAAGCTCAGAGGCAAAAGATAGGTGGGATAATTTAAGTTAAGGAAAGCTGGCTAGAAATAAGCCAAGCAAAGGCTGGGCATTGATAAGTAATAATAAGACTTCGTGTGATTTATTTGGGAGCTTGGTGGTAGGCCCGTAAGAGCAAAAGAGCCAAAAGCGCAAGAGAACAACCAATAACAGTGTTTGACAAAATCAAGTAATTAGTGTCCTAGCAAGAAATAAACTCATTGTATAGAACAAACTCACAGCCTAGATCTGCATAGGTGATTAGTTAGGGAAAACCACAGGTCATTGTTCTGTGCTTTCGTTTGTTTCTTTGTCTCCAGTGCTATAGGATCCACCATAGGGAATAGCATGGGTTGGCCAAGCCCTGTATCATTGAACTCCATCCTCAGCCCTCAGAGTTGCTTTAAAGACCACTGCGGAAGCTATTGATATTGGGAATTCTATTCCATCATCCCCCAAATAATTATATTTAATTATTTCAGTTTTTTTAAATTGCATCATTAATTTTTTGGTTGCATACTTCTTGACTATGTGGTCTTACTTGGCAAGTAGGTTTTGCTCAAGTTCTGGAATGTCACCAACTTTTAAGAAGGGACCTCTGGTGTGTGTGTGTGTGTGTGTGTGTGTGTGTGTGTGTGTGTGTAATGTGTGTGTGTAATGTGTGTGTGTTAAGGTCTAATTATAAAGCTCAGAATAAGCCTCAGCCCCTCCTGATGGTTTTCTCAAACCCTTTCTGATGATTGATTTTGAAGTTGTTAAAGTTCTGCCTTGAAGCCAACAGTGCTTTTTGAAAGCCCTGGCTCTGCTTTTTGATGAGCAGTGGGGAAGAGTTAGCAATTTCGTTGTCACAGCCCTGTGGGGGAGGAGGGGAGATGGTTTGAGACAGAGTCTCCAAAACCTAGGCCTGTCTTGAACTCATTAGTTAGCTGACCTTGAATTCTTCATCTTCCTCCCTCTACCTCCCGAGTTCTGTAACTACAAGTGAGTCCTGGGTATACACATGACTTCTGGGTATACAAGAGTTGCCATGAGACCAGCTTCTAAAATAAAGTTTTAGATGTTTAATGATGAAACATTTGAGCTGGTCTCAGTGTCATATGTTAAGTACCCCGCACTCAGGAGGCAGAGGTGGGAGGATTGTGATTTTCAGTCAGCATGAGGCATAGAGCAAGACCCTGTCTCCAAAAGAAACACACACTCTAAAGAAGAAAAGAGAAGGAAAAGAGCAAGTGAATATCACACCAAAGATAGGCTGTTTTGCTCACCAATGTATCCATCAAGTGATCACACTGAGGAAGAATATGCTACCAGGAAAAGGTTTACAGACTTCAAATTCAAGCAGTAAAACTGGATATTTAATCATAGGATTGGGGAGGTAGAGGCAGTGGAGCTCTGGGAGTTTGCAGTCAGCCCAGTTTATGCAGCAAGTTCCAGAGCAGCCAAGGATACAAAGTGAGATCCTGGCTCAGAAAACCAAAGGATAAACAACAAACCTTATGGGGGCTGGAGAGGTGGCTCAGATGTTAAGAGCACTGACTATTCTTCTAGAGGTCCTGAGTTCAATTCCCAGCAACCACATGGTGGCTCACAACCATCTATAATGAGATCTGGTGCCCTCTTCTGGTCTTTAGGCACACATACAGACAGAACACTGTATGCATAATAAATAAATCTTTTAAAAAAAACAAACCTTATGGTATCATTCCTTCCAATCCCAACACACACACACACACACACACACACACACACACACACACACAGATGACCACCAATGATAAAGAACGGTTGTAGACAGAAGTTTTTGTTCCACCTGGTCCCAGAGGCTTAATTAATTATAAACTGGCTGGCTTATTAGCTCGGGCTTATTATTAACTAGCTCTTACAACTTAAATTAACCCATAATTCTTGTCTATGTTTAGCCATGTGACTTGGTACTTTTCCCAGTGCAGCATCCTCATCTTGCTTCCTCTGCATCTGACTGACTCCATCCCTGCCTTTCCTCTTCCCAGAATTCTCTTAGTCTGGTTTCCCCGCCTATACTTCCTGCCTGACTATTGGCCAATCAGCATTTTATTAAACCAATATGAGTGACAAATCTTTACAGTTTACAAGAGCATTGTCCCAGATCGAAGGGCTGGAGCTGTAGTTCAGTGGGCTAACACCTGTCTCGGTTTCATAACACCCTAAATTAAGTTCCACTAGAGTAACACCCCAAAATTTTTCTGAAAAGGAATAAAATCAAAATTTTAGGAAAATGTTGGGTACTAATTCTCCCATTTCTCCCCCACTTTTGTGCATTCCAGGTATTGTGGGTTCTTCCTTAGTAGTGAAGGGGGTCGCAGGTGGCCCTGTTACACTGCCGTGTACTTACTCAGCGCATCTCGGAATCGCTACCACATGTTGGGGCCTCGGGGACTGTCAGTCTTCTTATTGTGTCAGGACACTTATCTGGACCGATGGATACCGAGTCACCTATCAGAGGAGCAGCCGATACCAGCTAAAGGGGAATATTTCAGAAGGAAACGTGTCCTTGACAATAGAAAACGCTGTTCAGAGTGACAGTGGTCCCTATTGTTGCATAGTGGAAATCCCTGGATCTTTTAGTTATGTGACCTATTCATTGGACGTTAAACCAGGTAAGCTTTGTTGGTTTCCTTTGTTCATTTCTTGCAAGTGAACTAAGTCTTCTGTTTGCTAATATTGTCTGTTTTTCTCTAATGATGAAGAGAGTTCTAAGTCTGCTTTGGACTTTTAAAATAGGTCTCACATCATATCACATAAGCTTTTGCTTGAACAATGGAAACGTCCTGAGAGCAGAGTGTGCGCTCCAATATCTGTTCATGGTCACTCGGCAGTGTAATAGCATGAGGAACAGCGGTTAGTCCTTAAAGGACGCAGACACACAATTCTGTCCAATGAGCTTTGTTAGAATGAGGAGGCCTCAAGGCCGAGATCAGCCCTCCAGCTGGGAGGGAGAGCATTAGACAGAAACCATACAATCTGTGAGGCCCATCCCTTGATGGGGTATGAAGAGGCTTCCAGGAAAGGACGGCCTTTTCTTTGCAACCTGTAGAGGAGCTTCATTAAGAGCAGGAGTGTGGGAGGGAGACAGAGATGAGGAGGACTAGAGATAGCAGCCATTACTGGAATGGCAGGGCAGACAGAGCAGCCTACAAGATAATCCTCTCAGTATTCCCCCTGAGGAGTCTCAGGCTGGTCCCCAGAGCAAGGGAAAGTCTGACTTGTTATAATCTTTTAGTGGCACAGGTCCTAGGTGCTAGGTCTCAGGGTAAAGGGTAACTAAGGTGTTTGCTAGCATATCAAAGCAGACACTGGCTGCCATTTTCTCAGCAAGGCCAGTACCTGGCGCACCCCACTCTTTCTCTCAATTCTCCAGCCCATGGACTCAGCTTAGCTGTACTTCTGCCAGCTGCTCTTCCCATTATAGCCCACCCCTTTTGACTATACAGGCCCTTTTGGGTTCTCTACCTCTTGGTCACCACTCTTGGCTCCTGGCTTCCCCTCTCCTCACATGGCCAGTTCAATTTGCTGGTTATGTTCACTCTGGACCCTTCCAGGTGCCTCTGTTTTCTCCCTCATATTTACAATAAACCATCTCCACCATAGGCAGGTCAGGTAGTCATGTCTTCAGTTCCTTTCATTTTTCATTCAGGAGGGACATTTCCTGTCATGTGTTTAGGTTCACCATAGCATAAGTGACAGAGTATGGGGCTTCAGATCTTGGTTAGGTCCTCTGTCTCTGAGGTGCTGGAATTAGAGTGTACCACCACCACCAGGCTTTACATTCTCCTTCTTGAGGTACATATCCTGATTTCTTTGCATTGACTAGAAGAGTAGGTTCATGAGGACTTCCTGGCTTCTGGCGAAGTTCCTAATATTTGCTTACCAAGGGCTCATATAGCCAATAGAAATCAATACTGATCTGTCTCTATGTTTTTAAAATAAGGATATTATTCTATAGTATTCCAACTTATAGACTTTGTTATTTATCCATTCATTTACTTTTATGCTTAATTTGATTTTTTAAACTGCATTTATTATTATGTGGCTATTGTGGATGATGCATGTCTGGTGGGTTTGCATGCCATGGTGAATTTGTCAGAGGGAACACTTGTGGGGTCGGTGCTCTCTTTATATTCTTATGTGAGTTCTAGTGATACAAACCAGTTGGCGATGATTGCAAGTCAAGTGCCTCTACCCATTGAGCCATTATTCTGGCTCTGTTCATTGATTGATTTATTGATTTTGAGACTCGGTCTTGCTTTGTAAGTCAGGCTGATCTGGATCTCCTTGTCCATACCCTTAGCCTCACCAGTGTTGAGATTAAATGAAGGTGCCACCATACCTTGTTAGGATGAGGTCCATTCTGATGGGGCAAGGAGCTGCCTTGAAAAGTATGGCTGGGAGTTGTAGGAAAGCCAGAAGAAGCTGATCATAGAGTGTGCAAAGAATGATGTATAGAGACAGCTGGGGGGAGGAGACAATAAGATTCTGAGTGCCCATCACAGTTGTGAAATTGCATTATTTACCTGACTGAAGTTGAATGACTCTGGACTCCAACGGGAATCACTCACATGAAAATAGCTTCATATACAGATACAGACACAGACACACACACATGCGCGCGCGCACACACACACACACACACACACACAGAGAGAGAGAGAGAGAGAGAGAGAGAGAGAGAGAGAGAGATAAATCGCTAAGGAAAAATCTCACTAGGGGATGTGTAGAAATTTTTCTAGCCTGTCTGAAGCCTTGGCTTCTGTCCCTAGAGCTGCAAACTCAATAACCAAGTAAGGGCTGATGTTTAGCTTGGGAAGGCACTTGTCTAAAACCTTGAGATTAGATTCCCAGCACCAGAAGGGGGATAGGCATAGCATCATAGCATAAAATTACTAATTTCAGTTCATTAATTCAAGGTTTTATGAAGCTAAGAAATTCATAACAGAACAGTGTTTACAAAGACACTGTGACCACTCAGTGAGTCCATGGGTGAGCCAGCAACTCTGCCTCACCCTTGAACAGCTAAGTTTACATTTTCTCTTGGTTTACACACCCGGAGCTCCATCTCTAGCTATCCTAGGACCCTCATGGCTCCTTTGGACTTCCCATCTACCTGGGAGAATAACACCCCAAAGCAAGAACAGTAAAGCTCCTGAGATGTTGCTTCCTTCCTAGTTGGTCTCACAGTGATCTTCTGCCTAGATTGTTCCCATGCTTGCTTTTCTCTCCTGCAGGGATTTCTACTCTGCAGGGAGGGTTTGCATTATTCTCATGCCTATGCACACACATTAGACTGCATCAGCAAACTAACCAGACTCCTCGCTGGTGTGTATAGTTTTATTGCAGCACGGTCACACCAACTCCTCGCTGTGTTGTCAAAGTAACTTTCAAACTGAAGGGCATAGTGCTTGCTCCTGAACACCTGTTTCCTAGTTCCTGAGCCCAAAACACTTCACTATTTGGCTCTTTATAGGAAAGGGATGGAGGGCCAGTGAGTTGGTTCTGTGGGGAACGATGCCCAGGGCTAAACTTGGTGACCTGAGTTCAATCCATGGGCCCATATGGCGGAAGAAGAGAACAGACTCTGCAGAGTTATCCCCTGACGTCCACATTTGTGACATCCCACCAACAAACAAATAAATTAATAAATACATGGATTGAATTTAGGGGCGATGCTCCACATCCATCTCCCTACACTTCGTAGGATCACTACAGGTTTTTCTTCATTTCAAGGTAAACACACTGGATTGAGGAATCACACGGTATTCCGTGTGAAGAAGAAGAGTTTTCAAAGCATTTTTTCCTCATTGCCGCGGTATAATTTTGTAGTTAGCACAGTTAAGATCAAGGGAAATTACTTCCAGGGAACATAAGTCAGCTGACACACTCAAGCATGAGTGTCTAGCTAACTTTCCAGCACCACTTTGCCTTAGTTCCTGTCTTAGACCTCTGCACACTGAGACCATCAGTAGCTGCTTGGATCCTTACAGCCCTTTGGATGCTGTTGATTGGTAAATTGTAGGTTGAACCTGCTGTTCCAAACACCCCACATCTACAGTGCTCCAAAATCTGGAATCTTCTGAGCATGAACTTGATAATGCACCTGGAAAAGTCAATGCCAAGAATTTATCACATGTAGAATTATCAAAACTTTTAAACTTTCCTTTAACATAAATATATATATATACACACACATATATGTATATATATATATGTATATATATATGTGTGTGTGTATGTGTGCGCGCTCGCACGCACGTGTGCACAGGTACATGGATGCTATATCAATCTATGTTTATACTTGAGGCCCCTCTATATGATAATATCTATATGAAAATATTCCAAATTTTTAAGAAAGATCTAAATTCTGAAACCAAGCATTTTTGGATAAGGGGTACTCAGTTTGTCTTGCTTAAATTGGAAGGAACCATGGAAGACAATGTCCACTCTCTACCCAAATGTGTAATTCACATTTGTACTAGGATTCATGTGGGATGTGTGCGTTAAGATGCAGGGTTGTAAGCTGTGTCTTCTCGGGACTGACTGAAGGGAACATGCTGGGCCTGGGAACTATGAGTGAAATCAGTCATCAATGAGAGAAGTCCCAGTCCCCCGTGCCCTCTCAGTCTCAGAGATGCTGGGAGATCTGAGGACCTGACGGCTGACATTTAGAAAGTGTGTCCTTAGGAACAGGCTCTGTTCTCATGTCCATGTTGTTGGTGCAGCTGACTCTTATGGGTGAGCGTCTCCATTGCTCTGCCCTGTCTTACTTGGTCAAAGACAAAGGAGAGGACAACTTCTCGCTGGTGTTGCAGTAGCAGCTCTTCCGTCTTCTTGCTGGAATAATCCTTGTTTCATCTTGATTTTCAAATCCAGAAATTCCCACAAGACCCACAACTACAGAAAGACCCACAACTTCAGGAAGACTCACAACTATAGAAAGACCCACAACTACAGAAAGACCCACAACTTCAAGAAGATCCACAACTACAGGGAGACCCACAACTACAGAAAGACCCACAATTACAGGAAGACCCTTGTTGACTCTGTCAACAAGACCCACACATGTACCAGCATCACCCAGAGTCTCCACCTCTACTCCTACAACACCAGCGCACATGCAGACTCACACACCAGGTAAGACTCAATGTGGTTCAGAACCCAGAGTTCTTATAAGCATTTGTAGGACACAGACACTGAGTCAAAACAGAAGTATAATAGAGGTGAAGAGTTCTTAGCTGTGTCCCAACAACAGCCTCACAAAGTCTGTAATTTTCCAGTCTTAAGTTGCATTCACCCTCTGGTGTGTAAGAGCTTGAACATGAAGGATGCCATCTCTCTATATCAGATTCCCTGGGACTCACTCTAGCCAGACTGAGGTCCATCATTGATCTTGGAAAGCTGATGACGATGGTGGGGATCTGGCCCAGTTGAATACGATTTTCTGATGAAAAACTAAGGACTGACTGAGAACAAGGGTCAAGTTAGGGAGACCCTTGCCCCTTTTATCCATTTTGAAATTGAGCCTCCAACTGAGGTCATCGTTCAGGGATTTTGACATTTAGCATTGCCTGATCACCGGGAAGCATGCTACATGTTTTATGTTGCAGTGTTGAATTCTCAGACACTTGCATCCTGTATAGCTGTGATCTGTCCCTATTTTATAGTGACGGGAACTGGCAGAGTTAGAAAGTTCATGGTGGAAGTTATGGAGACAAAAAGTGGCTCAGACTCTGGCCCTGTTCACTTGAGTTAGAAGCTGGTTCTTCTGACTCCACGGTCAGAACTCCACAGTCATGAGCATCCTATGCGCAACATAGAAGTTTTGAGACAATCCCTTTGTTCCAGGCAGCTGCACACACTGAAGAACTGCGAGGATCTCTCAGGGTTGACAGAACTTTCCAAGACTTAGTTTCTGCCTGCATCAGGGGATGGGCACACGGGCTGAGTCTGGAGAACATGGATAGGTTATTGACTTCAGTGAAAACCGAGATAAAAGAGAAGTGTTTACTCATGAGTCCTTATGACCTCTTGAGGGTGTTTTAGTGTAATCTTGTTTTTCTATTCTGAGTTTCCTAAAGAATTGCAGTTGACGGTTGAAAGTCCAGTCCAGGAAGAAGGCAAACATTCTGGCTCCTGTCAGATGAGGCCGTGTTTCCTCACATCCACTTCTTGTGCTCATCCTGGTGCCCCAGACACTGTTCATGGAACATGGGTGGGAAGTTGTAAGAACAGGGGAGAAAGGGACCCAGGCTGGGGGAGCAAGTTAAGCTCATGATGCCTTTTGTCAAGAACTGAACTGGGTAACGTGTGACCGCCTGACGTTTGTGCTGTCCTGTTGTTCAGAAGGGCGGTCTCATCCTCTTACATGTTTGAGCACCAGGGTAAAACAGGGCAGTAGGGCAGAACAGGAGGGTGTTGTGCACATGTTGTGCAGATGTAAGGATCAGGTTATAGTGAGGTGGGGAATCAGGAAAGACACTAATTCCTGTCTGGACACAACCAACTTAAGCCAAGTTCCTCTCCTGTTCTGAAAAGGGAAGCATTGAAAGGACTCCGGGAGAGGCAAGAGCTCAGCTCTGCATATGAAGTGAGCTCTTGGTGGGAACAATGTAGGGACTCCAGGAAGGAAAGGGAAACACAGGCTGCACTAGAGTGTTCCACGTGGAAGCCTTTGGACAACGGAAGATGAGTCAGAAAACACCAGAAATCACTCTTAGTAAAGAAATGGTTGGAGGGCATGAGACCTTGTCTTAATCACTCAGTCAGTCAACAAACCATGAGAGAGATGGAGAAAGAGAGAGGAGAATTTCATAACACAAGGCAGGCTGTAGTGTGGGAACCATCACCAGTGTGATGCTGTTACCTTGAGAACATCTTAGTGATGAAATGGTCCATCTAGTCCACGTTATCCAGTGAGCGCATCTTCCTGAAAGAAGTGTGATGAATCTGGTTCCTGACTAAGGCCTCAGTGAAGAGGGGTGAGAAACGTCCAGGCCCTTCCTAGAAGGTGAAATGCCCCTTGACTTGATAAGCCATAATCTTAACTGAGTGTCTGGTTCTCCACGTGTTCATATCAGCTATGTTTCAGAGGAGTTCAGGAGTTTAGAATGGAAAGTGTGAAGCAATCCTGAAGATCAATAAAGTTGTCTAGAATATTAGAACACACATCTCACTTGGTCAGGATAGTGAGATCATGACAGGCAGTGCCCACCTTTGGGTACATTTCTCAGAGGAGTCAGCAGATGCGGAAATGAGTAAGAAGGAGCCATACCTGCTATGGAGGCTGAGGAAGGCACTGGGGGAGGTGATGAAAAGTTTTGCATCTGTTTTCCTTGGTGGCGTCCAAACTCCAAAGCTGAAACCGTTCTTGCATTGTTCTCATTCCAGAACCTACTACATCTTACCCAGGTCAGACTACAGCCGAGGTGACAGAAACCGCATCCTACACCCCTGCAGGTAACTATGTTCCCCTGCCTGATTCCCTGGAAGGTCCACATATTGGTAAACCTGGTGCTGGAGAACACACGCCCTCTGCAGCAATGCAGATCTGACATTGTAAATGGTGGCAGGGACAGAGGCACAGCTCCATCCCACCCCTGACAGCACCCTCCAGAGGTCCCTTTCCACAAACACCTCCATTCAGGCCAAGCTAGGCTGTGTGGCTTCTTTGAAGGAAAGAATGTCAGGGACAGTCAATGTGATGGAGTGTTGAAGGTTTATCAGTATTTAACTCAGATCCTAAGCACGGGGTCCTTAGGAAAGGAATAGGGCACCCTGGAGCACACATATGGACTTCTCCATGAAGAGCACTTAGGTGTCTTTACATTGAGTGTACATGTGACATTGGGGGCTCTTAAGATGAATCTCTGGAGGTTTGTAAGAAGTGCCCCATCCCCTTACTGCTTCGCTTTGGAAACAATACTTTGAGATGTAATTTACAGAAAACATATCTGACTAGTTTTCTTCCGCAAACAGTGTTGTGATGGAGGTTTTGGAAGGATATTTGTCTATGTTCAGGAGTGGGAGAGAGGGCTCTGAATTCCAGGTTCTACATTGTTATTCCTGGAAGATCTTACTTAAGTCCCAAACAGAGCCTAGACCATAGATGTTGCCTAAACGTAGTCACTGCGTTTGGCTCCTTGGAAGACCTCTCAGAATGAGCAAACTGTAAGCACGGTAATGTGAAAAGGAGGAAATCTATGGATCATCCAACTTTATTCACGCTGGGTAATGCCTGCTTTAGTAGTAGCTGGGGACTTGCATAGATCTGTAGTGTTCCCACTCATTGTGTGGGCACTGTGTACATCGCCAGCTGAGATGCCTGTCATGTCCTGAAATTAGAAATATGAAGTCATCTGTCCACTTTATCTGTAAAATGCAGTGAAAGGTTCTTTGTCAGGATGTCACAACCCTTATATCACACACACATACATACACACACACACACACACACACACACACGTCTGAAATCAGTGGGGAAAGGATTCTGTGTTTCATTCATGGACGCATAAAAGCAATGAAAAGAATAGATTCCTTGTTATAAATTAGACATTTCAAATACACTTCAAATTTCTAAATGTTCAAAACTTATTCTTCAGTGAATCTCCTGCCATATAAAAATCTCATCCCTTACATGGCATAAGACATATTAGTCTTGTGGGGTATTATTTACAGATGTAGTAAAAGAAACATCTAATTTCTTGTATTTATAATTTATTTTCCTTTTTTTGAGCAGATTGGAATAACACTGTGACATCCTCAGATGACTCTTGGAATAATTACACTGTAAGCATATTCCTCCCGTATTTATTAGCTATGTTCATTTGTGTGCCTTGTAGAAAACAATTTGCATTTGAAGATTATGTCTGTAAAATTAGTTCATAGATATTTGCATCAAAAAAGAAGAAGTTGGAGATGAGCCTGCACCACTAGGTTTCTTGGACTACATGGTGAGACTCTGTCTCAAAAGCTGTAGATAAATAAGTTAATAAATATATGAAAGCAAAGAAATTAAGAGTTTGACGCTTGCAAAGGATGTTTGAATTCTAGATATTCATTTAGGGTCCTCTAATATTGCTTTTCTACCCACTGACCATCTCTCTCGAGTATTTTTTTTTCACACACATAACTCCAGATAAAGTATTAGTGTCCTAAACATTCTCACTTTTGCATAATTTTTCCCCCTAGATTTTATCAATAGTAAGCTTGAGGAAAAAAAATCTAAGGAACTCCGGTTGCAGGATTCTTGTCAGAATTCAGTTTTTCCAAATAGGAGAGGTAAACAGCTGAATAGTAATTTTTCTCTTTTGGCTCCAGGAAGAAGCAAGGTTATTTTTAGTTTGTGTAAGAAGTGCAGGAGAAATAGTGGTTGAAATGAGAAAAACGCCCAGTAGGGATTATGAAGATTATTTGACTGTTGGAAGTTGCAGAGCTCCTTTGAGCTTGTGTAGGTCACTGGGTTTGAGCTTCCAAAAATGACTCAACAACAATGAAACCCTCAAGACAAGGTGGGGACATTTATATAGGGCCAAACGGCCTGATGCTTTTATACCTATTGACAGAACATACAAGGAAAGACTGGGTGTGAGTTCCTTTTGCTTGTTTTATTGAGAAGGGTCTCTCATGCAGTCCAGTTGTCCTTGAACTTGCTGCATGACTGGGGATGACCCTGAACTCCTGACACTGCCTCTGTCTTTCAAGAAATTGTAGGCATGAAACCCACCATAACTAACCCCCCATCTTTGAGAATTGTAAGGAAGGTTTTCCTGTCCCGCTGGCCCTCTGGACCAGTTTCTTTCATGCTTGGTCCCCGCAGGCCCTTGTGAAATAATTACTCAGAGGCTCAATATCAATTATAATTGTTTGACCAATGGCTCAAGCTACTTACTGGCTAGATCTACCTGTGAATTACGCCATTTCTATTAATCTTTGCATCACCACGTGGTTGTGGGATCCTGGTAATGCCCTGGTATGTTGCTTCTTTGGCAGTTACAGGACATCTCTTTTACTCCACCTTCCTTTTCTATGCATCTATTTTTGGATTTCCCATCTACTTATATTCTGCCTGGCCATTAACCTAAGCAGCTTTATTCATCAACCAATAAAAGCAATGCATATTTTAAAATACAGAAGGACAAGGACAGTCCACACCAAGACATCTCATTTCACACCTCAGGCTGGCCTAGAATTCATAATCTTCCTGCCTCAGCCTACTGAATACTGAGATTACAGGCCTGTGCCACGTGCCCAGCTTGACACTAAAAATATCATGACTTAATTAGCATTAGTACCCACTGGTCTGGCAGTTATGAAAAGAATCTGTATATACTAGTTAAATATAACCTGCTCAGTATGTATCCTATTTGTGTGTACATGTCCATGCTGACCATTTGGTATTAGATGTTTATAAAGATATGGAATCTTGAGTTGCATTTACAAGACAAGTAGGGTCTGTATTGAAGGACCAGCCCATGGGCTGAGCACACAGAGAGCCAGTTAACTTAGAGGTGAGCTACTCTTTTCTACAGACTAGGAAAGCAGACATAATCACATATATCATGTCTGAACCCACATTAAGCATGAGGTTAGAATTTTGATTGAGGCATCTACTGCGTAATCACCTCAAGCAACGTAGACCACGTTTCCATCATCATCAAAGACACTGATTTCACATTGTCTCGGAGTTCCACTGCCTGTTACCACACCTCAGATCCTTGGGTCTTCCTGCATATTCCGGACTAGTCACAGGTCAGTAAAGACGCAGTTCTAGGACCTAGCGTCTAGGCTAAGGTCAAGCATGTGCTTTCTGCTCCTCTCACTTGATGCCCCTCGCTTGTGTTTACTGCTGTTTATTTATTGCTATTGTTATTTTATTTATTGTTTCCTTAGGAATCAATCCCTTCAGGGATGGCACAGAACATGACAAAGGACTTCTATGTCGGCATCTCCACCGCTGCCCTGCTGTTGCTGCTGCTTCTGTGCACCGCGGTTTTCACCAGTAAGTCATTTCATAGCTGTCCCCGAGGAAGAAGAGCCAGGGCTCTCAAGCACTGTGCAGACATGCCATGGGGGCTTTTGAGTTCACATGGCTTTCATATCCTTAGATCCAAGACACTCATGTTAAACCTTCTATTCCCCAAGGGATGTGTTAGGGCCCAGAAAACTCTGTGGATGACTTCTGGTACATGGTGAGTGCTCTGCTCAGTGACCTTGAACCATTGCTACTAAGACTCCAAAGATTCTGTAAAACTTGATCTCATGTACTGACCTTAGTTGATAGCTGATCATGCCCCCCAACTCCAGATCCTCTGGCCTCCAACACCCGAGCACTGGGCTCACAGGAATGGGCTGCAGTGCTTGGCAACACTCTTGTTCCTAACCCTGTCCTTTGTTTTTCAGTTGTTGCCATTTAATGGGAAACATTTATATTCTCCATAAGAGAAAGGAAACACCATGACACAACAGATATTGGATAGGCTTGACATTCTTGGGTCACTTTCAGGCCATTGAGGTGCTCTCTCCTGTCCTACCCTTGGGATCTCGCTTGTTTCCCATAATGATACTGTTGAATGTTCTGGAATATGTTCAGTAAAAGAGGCAAATGAGACATTGATGGGAAGTTCCCTGACTAATGCTGGAGCAGACTCTGAAGGTAGCACCCAGGCCTACATGACTCTTTCCACGAGTTGTGCAACTGTACACAGTGTTTCTCTCTGTGAAGTCTATTCCTTGTGTAAGAACTTCAGCCATGGACTTTACAAAACACTGTAGAGAAGTCCATTACTGACCCATTTCATGTGACTGGGCAGAAAACAGGAAATAAGGATATGCCTGTCTCTTGGCTGTGATCGGCACAGTTCCTGTAATCCCAGCGTTTGGGAGACAGAAGCAGAAAAGTCTCTGAGTTTGGGGCCAACCTGGCCTACAGAGCAAATCAAGGATAGCCAAGGCTACCCAGAGAAACCCTGTCTTGAAAAACTAAAAAATAAATAAATAAAAATAAAATTCAAGACTATGCTTGTCAATTCAATTCAGACTGTTTCCCTCTGGTTATTCAGAACTTGTGTTTCTGAAATGATTATTTTTGATGGCTCCAGTAGCGTGTGCCTACTATCCCAGCATTCTGAGTCTGACGTTAGCATGGGCTGCATATGAGCTGGTGTTTAAAAGGGAGAATTACTTGGAAATTGAGTAAAATACCACAAGTGCCTTCCTTCGGCAGTCAAAAGTTGTTTATTCTCCCCTCAAGGACTTGTTCTCCAGCAGTCCATTAAGAAAATTCGAGAGTTTTTGTTTGTCTCACTGAACAAAAGTTCACCACCTTCACGCAAGTGCTTTAAGCCACGTGGATGAATACACCAGACAGTGAATGAACGGAAGGGAGATCCTTCTTGGGGACAGGAAGGATTACCCAAAGTTACTGGGGACGGTTCAACCAAAAATAGAGACAACATCCTCGATTAGGAGAATGTATCATGAGTGTTTCTGATGGCATGGGCAATTCTCCCTTCAACTTCTCCCACCTCTTCTCACCCCAATTTAGGTTACATCCTTATGAAAAAGAAGTCGGGGTCTCTAAGGTAAGCTGGCATGAATTGTGTGGATTCTTTTTGAACTAACAATTTTGAGAATATCTCTATGCTCTCTTTTAGTTGCTACTAAAACATTCTTTAGTAATTGATTCATTGATGGGTTGGTTGATTTGAGACAGCGTTCACTATGTAGTCCAGACTGGCCTGGAACCTGCTAGGTAGCAAGGCCAGGCTGAACTCACAATCCTCCTGCCTCTGAGTCTTTCACTCTGGGATTACAGGTGTGTTCCACAATGGTTGACCCTCATTCTGTACATTGGATCCCCAAATAAATTTTAATGAGTCCCTTACTTGTTACCCTTATTTCTCAGAGATACTTTCTGCATTCTGTATTTATGTATTTATGGTAGGACAGGAACAGAAGGCCCCTTGATCCTAATCTCTTATAGGTGGACACTGAATTGTAAGCTTTGCTTCCTGGAGCTGGTATGGAAGGAGTTGCTTTGGCCCACTCTTGTTTCCTTCAGTGTTTTCTTTCATTGAGCACCTAGTCTATAAAAATCCGATGATGTATATCATATAAGCTGGTAGAAAGGTCATTTTAGGTGCTTTCAGGGAAGATTATGGTGGATGACAGGGCTAGATGGTGAGTTGTTCTAGGATGCCCAAGGGAGAAGATGTAGTGGAAGATCATTCTGAGGTTGCCAGGGAGTAAAGGAATTGTGTATGGCCAGGGTCTCCACATTTCTTACCTTCACGCACGACACTGGTGTCAGCCTGGCAGGCTCATCAATTAACTGTACTTGGGGAGCTCTGTTAGTCTCTCCAGTTTAAGACCACTGTACCTCCTGTGCTACATGGTTATAATGATCTAATCTTCTTAATTTCTCAAAAAAAATTGACTGTACGTTTCTTTAGGTCAAAACCCATGTCCTTCTGGCTGCCTTTCATAGACTTGCCTGTGTCTATGCTGAACAAGAGAACCGAGCCATAGACTGAGTCTATTAGAAGTGCCTGATTAAGTGTGAGCTCTTATTAGGTGTCAGCCTCCAGCTCCCTCGGTGCTGGGTTACAGGTATGCAGGAGATGTTCTTCCTGTTACCTGGGGCAGCATTTGGACTCTTGTTCTGTTTGTACAGCAAACATCCTTAACTGCTGATCAATTCTTCAGTCCCCCAAACTACTTTTTAATCACACTTAATCTAAAACAAACAAACAAGCAAGCAAAACTGGAGAAAACACAACATATAGAGAAGAGGGGAGAAGTTGGGTGAGGGGGTACACACTACTATCTCAACACTCAATCAGTTAACACAGGAGGACTGTAAGTTTAAGTCCAGCCCAGACTTCTAGTAACATTCTATCTGAAAATAAGTAAATAACACCAGGTGTGGTGGCTCACACCTTTAATTCCAATTCAGCAGGCAGAGGCAGGTGGACTCTATGAATTCAGACCAGGTGTGTCTATGTAGGGAGTTACAGGATAGCCAGGGAAACATGGTGAGACCCTGACTAAACCAAATGAATGAATGAATGATTGAATAAAATATAAATAAAATAAATAAAAAGCTAGAAAGCAAGCCAATAAACCAAACTGATCACTATATAACACATACATTCTGGACATTCTCTTGTGACTTTTCCTCTCAGTTCCATCACACTGACTCATGAATGAGAGTCCTGACCCTACTGTTTCCGTACATGTGTGACTGTCCAGGCAGAGATGAGATTGCGCTCTCTTGTTCTGTGTAATTCTCAGCACAGGTGTTCGTTCCTATGTGGCTGACTGGAGACACTCATTTTGGTTCTACATTTCGGTGGTAGAAATGGTCACGAATGACAAAACCCCACTGTCAAAACATCACCCCTGAGTTAGTCTGTTTTCTTCTCTGGTTTGCTCCTCCATGAGTTCTAGAAGCTCAAATATCAGTTCCCTGTGCCCACCCTGAGTAACAGAATGAGCTCCCCAACTGCAGCCCCTCCTACAGCTGTCAGGATGGGCAAACTGCAAAGACCTGCTGTGCTCTCCCCTAATTCCTTCCAGTGCAGTTCCTGCTTCTTGTGTGCACGCTGTGTCTGCGCATGTGTGGCATACAGCAGTCTTGAAATTGTGCCCCAGACCAGCAGTTACGGCTGCTTTGTGACTTGACCTGTTTTCTATTCCATGCTTAATGTAAGAGGCTAGATGCTATGCAGGTTTCAAAACTCTTTAGTTTTCAATAAAGAAAACTTTGCATTACAGTGTGCATGATGTTTATCTCTGAGGGGGGTAATGTGTGGCACCTGTGAAGGTCAGAGGACACACTGCGGAGCTGGCTCCTCCCTTCTGCATTTTCCGTGGACTGCAGGGATCTCACTCGGGTCACCAGGCTCTTCTAAGTCTTTCTAAAGTGTCATAGTGCAGAGTAAATTCATGAGATAGCCAGGTCCAAAATGTGCATCCTGGCTAGATACCTAGGTTTGATGACAAGATATCTGTCTCTCTAGATCTCCTACTTTTGAGTTTTATTACATTAGTATATCAAATAATTCCAATATGAGCTACATTTTTAAAAAATTAACTCTTAGTCTGATGCTTATTATAAAAGTAAAAACAGCAAAAAAAAAAAAAAAGAACTTTTCTACAACTTTAATGCCAGGGGCCCTGTTCGCTGTTGTAGTTTTATGAATGGTTCTCTTGGAGTTCTGAGTATATGTCATAAATTAATGTTCTGCTCAGACCTGAAAGGCAACCAACCTCTTGTTCATTCTTCAACATCTCTCTCTCTCTCTCTCTCTCTGTCTCTCTCTCTGTCTCTCTCTCTCTGTCTCTCTGTCTCTCTGTCTCTCTCTCTCTCTCTCTCTGCAGCTTGGTGGCCTTTCGTGTCTCAAAGATTGGAGCTTTGCAAAACACAGATTGTGTGGCCCTGAGGTGAAGACAACGTCTCCATTATTGAAGACAGTTCTTATTTCTACTGAATGAGTCCCATTGGCTCTCTGAGGAGCCTTCTGCCTGAGACTGCAAAGACAGCAACCAGATTTAACAGTGCAAACAGCCTTTCCAGCTGCAGGGCTATGTTCTGTGTCGGTTCATCTAGCAGTGGTAGAGGGGGGTGACCCTCCGCTGTTTATACTCAAACTCACAGTTCACATCGTCCTAATTCTTATATTAACACTGCCTCAGTCTCTCACTCACTTCAGCACATTCTTTCAAACATTTTAGAATTTTGAGTTTCCCTTAGTCATTATAGTCATCGGTAGGTAGTACAGGAAATACTCCTGCCTTGATTCTTAAAACCATTAAGAGAGGAATAGGATTGAAAGATTTTTTTAAAAGAGAGAGAGAGAGAGAGAGAGAGAGAGAGAAAGGGTGGGTGAGAGGGCATATAAATTTAGAAATACTTCATGATCATGTTTTATCTCTTATATTGTAATTTGAAATGTCACTTTTCCTGTTCTTCTCAAGGGGTAAAATCACGGGAACATGCAGGTTTTAATTTCCTTCATAAATAATTAGTAGAAGGGACTCTAATATTACCATCAGAGTTGGTTATGCTTTCTCCTAGCTCTGGAAATATGATACATCTGTCATGTGGTTGATCTTAGGATAAGGATGGGTGTTTCATGTCAGGAGAGGTTACCACGGTGAGAAAGGACCAGGCAGACATCAGGGAAGAAGACAGTGGACCAAGGGACTGAGGTCATCGGTGCTGTTTCCCCGCAGGCTGACTCGATGCCCAGTGCTCCTATTCTCACCACTGGGCTCTGAATCAGGAGCTGGAAGGAGGCAATGCAGAGATGAAGGGAAAGGGGGAGCAGGACACAGGCTCTGCCTGAGAGAAGTCCTACTCCACGTGTGACAGAGTTGGGACTAGCACTGCCTTCATTCAGAGTTCTAAATTTCTAATTGTTTCCAAATGTATTTAGAAATAAATTTACTTCAGAAAGACAAAGCATTCTTCATGGTGCACCAGTTTGCCACAATCAATGAAATATTGGGTTTTGCTGGAGTTGACAAAGGCTGTTGTGTTGGTGTATTCGTTGTCAGTTTGGTTGTAGAGAAGAGCAGAGTCGCTAGAGGGTATTAATTCCTCTTTCAGTCTGAGTAAGCCCTGAGTCCGGTTAGAGACACTCAGTTCGTAGGAGACCAGGGGTGGATCTCAGTCCACATTCCACCGCTGTTCTGTTGAGTTCTAGGAAATGAGTCCATGTCTGATTGGGAGTTTCTTGGGGAGGTCAGATAGTAGGACGCTGCATTCTAGGCTTGCCAAATGGGGCTTCCCTTTATGCTCTAAAAATGATTGTGTTTAAACTATTATCATTTTTTTTCTTTTTGGTTTTTCAAGACAGGATTTCTTTGGTATATAGTGATGTTTTAATTTCTTAATTTTCTTTTTTCTGAAATTTTAGGCAACTCTCAAAACACGGAACATCAAAACTGGACTTTTGGTGTGAGAGCTTGGATTTGCAGCTTTTCTAGAAAGCTGTGTCAAGATAAATCAGTGGTGAGGCCACCAGAGGGGGCCATCAGGCCCTGCCCTCTCCTGCCTCCTTCTTGGTTCCTGCCTGGTGGCTGCAGAGCTCTGAGATTGTGATGTCTGCTCTGTTCTTCAGGCTTCCCAGAGATGCATGACAGACATGAAGGGATCTGGAAATCTGTTTGTCTGTCCCACCTAGCATTTCCAAAACTTGCTTGAACTCAAGAACATGGTGACTAGTGACATTCTGTGATAGTCTGTGGGACTCAGTGGAAGACATGTCACATTCATGGGCTCCCATTACTGTCAGTAGTTGCAATAGGGTAACCGCTATGTCTGTTTGTCCCATCTGTTTGCTGTTATCCTGTCCACACTTCCCTTGGTGGACAGTGGTCATTGCAATGAAGTGCCCAGTAAGAGGTCTTTGAGCTGTGGTAACATTCCAGAGTGCACACCCCCACCCCAGCAGGTGTTGTAGTAATAGCCAATGCTGAGTAAGACCTGAGCCAGTGATTTTTATACCATTATAACTAGGAATCTATTTTGTATGTGATCTGTCTTTAAAATAATCATGCTTCCTTTTGATATAGT